GCGCTTACAAAAACAAAAATTCAAAGAAGTCAGAGGAACATATGTGTATATTCGTGCAGCCTTCAAGTTGTCTCGATACAAGGACTACAATGACCATTCAGTTGGTGAGCAAGATTCCGAGAGAGACTCAACAGGAATAAATAGACAGTTCAACGAAATGGAAATAGACAAAGAATTTTGGGAGGAATTTATAAATCCATTACGTGCTAAGTTTGATAATATTAATGTTTGCCATCTATTGCTTCACAGCAATATCAAAATTCCATCGCTGTTTAAATTCTCTACTGCATCAACTACTCTTCATTCTTCTTCATTTCTAAGAAACTAAAAAAGTAATTCAATACTCAAAACAAGAAAAAATGAACTGGACACTTTTTGTTAATATGTATGTAAACCTTCTGTTTTAGAAAATACAAGATATTACAGAAAATACGGAAATATAGAATCAGAAAATATAAAATCAGTTTTAGAAAATTCAATACAGATAGTAATGTACAAAGAAGGAAAAGAAAAAATACTGATATAAATTTGATAATTTCTATATAATCACAAAGTTCATTTGTCCTTAGCTCTTTTAATTAACGCGGAATTGGGAAACTTATTTCTGGATCAATCATCTTTTTATCCATTTCTTTTTCTATGTCTACATCTTTTGTCTATCTCTTATATTTTGTACGTAATAATAAACCTACTGTTATTAACAATAATATTGGAACTGGAGGACAATCCGACATTTTAAAACAAGAAAAACTGAGGAATCGATAGTATGGAGGCAAACTTATTCTGATGCAAGTTTCGTGAAGCCTAGAAGCATGCATCGTCGCATGTTTCAACGTGGAGGCCTTTAGGGCTTCCTGCTGGCATGAAAAAGTGAGCCATTGCCCTTGACTAAATAGGTTTAAAAATAAGATAATAAATTTCTTCATGCGAACATAAAGTCTGAATCGTCTCTCTTCAAGAAAATTTTTACATGAATTTATATAACGTAATTCCGTATCGCGATGTGCCAACAATTCTACGAATAACAATGACACGATATTGTAATGACTGATTGAAAATAACTAAACCGTCAGTAACTTATAGATTTCGCAAGTAAACTACATGTTATGTTTATATTTGTTAGTACAATTGTAAAGTTTGCTTGCGATAGAAACAATTGAAAGGTGTAAGTATTGTTCTTCACAGGTAAAAATTGTAACGATTGATAATAGAAAAGGTGAATTCTTTTGTAAGTAATGTATCAGTATACAAGAAAACCAGATAAATAATTGTTATGTTAATTTCCTATAAATGAAATATGCTTACCACGAAAAATGTTGAACTAATTGTAAGAAGTATCAAACATACAATTGTTACATGCGCTGGTTTGTACGATGTCAATCCAATCATGAAGAAACAAAATTTCAGCAATCTATAATGCTTATAGCCAATTTCATTCTCTTCGACAATTGAAACACGGTCGACTGTGGTCGAAGCTTTACACATTTCGCAGAAAAATATAGAGGAGAAAAATGTTGACACCGTCGTGAGGTATAACTTGTAAATTACGTATGAGAGGAGAAAATGATTATCGATCAGTGTAGGATGAATAGGAGTAAATGTTTTTCTGAGAAGAAACGTTACTTTTATTCTTTCACCACGTGCAGTTTTTCACACACATTATGTCTCATTTTGAGAAAAAATTATTTCTATAACATAGAGGAAAATATTAATCAAACTCAAATGTTCTCGCTTATTTCTAAGCTTTATGGTAACGTATGTGCAACTTGAAAATTATGGCAGAGAAAGGATTAGTTCATTACACTTATTCAGTAAGTCAGGTTTTATACTGCCTTAAAATTATTATTGTATCATGGATTAGTGATACATCAGAAGTGTACCTTTTTCAGTTCTGTGAAGGAGTGTGCTAGACAAACAGGCAAATTGCCTGTTCTAAAACATTTTTACAAATATTTTCTGCAGTGTGTGTTAATTTTTTCACAACTTTTGAATATGACAAAATATTTTTATCGTTTTTTCAGATTGAAATGTAGAAGTTTATTTTCAGTCAAGATCAGGTTACAATAAAGGAAAATTCATTCTCAAAGAAGATCAGAATACGAATTTGAACATAGAACTGGAAACACCATTGAAATTTTGTGAATCAATATTGTTACAGGAAATGTTCAGACCTTTTTTAAGATTGTTTTTTAAGATACATAAGTAGATATATTGATATATCTTCGTATAACCATTTCGAATTTTATAATATGGATAACAATATTACCATGATTTTTTAGTACACTATCTTTGTCGAATGTGGCTGTGTTCATCAATCAGTATTTAAAAATTTCTTTTATTTGAACTTTAGATTAATAATAATATCTTTTCAAAACTTGTGAGTGTTTTTTCTACAAAATAAATGAACATTTCTGGATCGTTGTGAATATTTCTTCAATTTAACAATTACAATAACAGCATAACAACAATATGAACAATCGTTTTGTGACAAATTGGAGAAACAAACGGTGACTTATTATTTTTTCTATAAATAAAATTTGAGCTAGCATTCTATGAAAATATATGGATTACAAATTTTTATTTAAATATGTACATGCTTTTAAAGTATATCGAAAAGAAAATTATGGTAAAAAATTGTTTTATTTAATAAATTTAATAATAGCACTGCACTTGGCATATTTTGTAATACTCTTCATGTTATGGGCATCCTGTGCAATTTTACACTTTAAAATTTCATTTAAAATAGCAGTCTACAGTCTAGTCGTAATATAGATATCTAAAACAGAATTATTATGACCTACGACAGCTCTCATCGCAGTTTTATCCTATTTGACGTCTACTATAACATCTATTATATGACTTTAATCTGTCCTATAGGATCCACATAGTTGTTTATTCACTACTATGTTTTCAGAATGAAAGGAAGAAATGTGCAGAAATTACTAGTTTCTACATGATGAAATTGTGTTAATCATTTCACCTTGGGCAAGAAAATTGCAGGCAAGTTGTATACATTCGTGATACAGCTTTTCTCGTCTATAGTAATGTGTCTTTAGAACTCATTGAGAAAATACCGATGGTTTGTTATGGAAATTTAATATCAATCTTCTACTCATGCCTGTCTGTTTTACGCGCTACCGTTCCTATTGCTGTACTTTACATAAGAGTAGTTTTAGTTTCAACAAGTTGTTCATCAATTCTCGCAAAAGACACGTTATAGGTAGTTATCTATCCACAATGAAGAATATACAAGTACATAATTCTAATATATAAACTGCTTCGAATAACGGAAACCAATGTTAATCTAGATAAAGATTAGAATAAATTCCGTTTTTTTCCTATTTTTGTCAATGCTAAGGCAATATTACTTTTCTCTGGAATACAAGTAAGATAATATAGTACGCTAAAATAATAAGTGTAAACAATAGAATTAAGTCGAGATCAATATACGCGAAATAGAAAGCATAACAAACTATTGTTTTGATACTAAGCCATATAGATGTCTAGTGTAGACCATTAAGAAGCGAATCAAATAAATTATAATTTCGCGTTTATTGAAGATAATTGTACCTCAATGTAAATTTAGACAATACTCAATAAGTTAATTTATAAACAAAGCACTGGTTCTCGTCCGATCACTGAAGTTAAGAAGCGCTAGGCACGGATAATATTTAAATGGGTGCTGCTTGGGAACTCCGTGTATTGTTCTTATTCTTTTTTAATTTTTGTTTAAATACTTTCTAATAAGCTAATATTTATTCTAGTGTACTATGTAGGCTATAGTTTCAAATGACTCCCGTTAGTCATATTGGAGTATTAAAACAAGTATTAAAACAGTAGTTCTAATATCTAGAATATCTGAAACATCCAAAGTTAAACAAAACTGCATCGTAAGCTTATACATACATATGTAGTGATTTGATCTAATATAATAGCAACGTTATCGTTATCTGACTTTTGTGTCGTTTTCTTTCTTTTATTGTCTTTCATATTTTAGATTTCATAAAATTATCTTTCGTTTTTGAACGGTTTCCGAAATTAAAATGTTATACAATATTTAGAATCTTTTTGAACCTTTCCTAACGATCTCCAAATTTCATATTAATTAGCAAAGAGATCATTCGAAACAATATACAAAAATATTTTCATGCGTATAATATTTGTGATTCATAATGTGTTAGAGTATAATGAAGCACACACTAGCCTTAATTGATTAGACAAATTTAGTTTGTGTCAAGATACTCACAATTAATCGCATAAGCTCGAGGGCAGTTGATATAGTCTTGATCGTAACTGCGAATCGGACTTGAGCGATTGTTATATAAACCGAGCCGCATTCTTATCCGACGTTAGACACTGACTGAGTCAGTTTAAACCGACAATAGTGGGACAGTCTTCCTGGAAAAATTGAAGAACGAGTAAATAAAGACATATGTACATATAGGACATGGCATTAAGTAGTATAGACATGCAGGAGCAAATAAAGGTTTAGAGATTTTAGCAACTTTTTGACGCGTTATCGTGACTTGCATAAGTCTATTATATATCTTCAACTATCTTGTACAAATATGCACATTCGAGACGGCTTTTCTAACTCTATACAGGAAGAAATAAATTTGACTTTCTTCAATCATTTGTGATTGACGTAATATAAGTTTTAAAACACATTATCATGTTGTTAATATTAATATGTTGTTATTTATTCATTGCATTTGTTAGTTTTTCCACTGTGCTTTTAAACATAAGGACTGTGGTTTGTCATGTTAAGGATAGGATTACTTTTGGAAAACTGATGTTTTATTATTTATTAATCAAGAATTTGTTAATCTGACCGAGATAATATACCTCAATGAATAGGTATGTAAGTACATCTCTAAGGAATAGGATTTTTACTCAATATGTATTAATATTTTGTTCGAATTGAATATTTATTAATGCTTAAGCCATTTCAAAATGATTACATTATTTTGCGAATATTTATCTGAGTATATCTTCTTAATACAAGGCATATTTTACCCTTAACTTTCTTAAATTTTTGTTCATAATTTGTCTTTTTTAAAATAAAAATGTCTATGGGAACAGGAATACATTATCGTTTATAATTTAATATAGTCATAGTTGTGGCATGCCACTTCAGAGACGAGTCATCGGATCGGACCCATCGACCTATTCCTTTTGTAAGTAAAAAAGGAATATAATATACTGTATACTATACAAAGTAATGCCCGAAACATGCTCACCTCGAATAACTTCCAAGATTTTCGTTGTACAAAAAAATGTTTTGTACGAAAGTTATATTGTATGAAAGACAACATACTGTGATGTGTGTATTTTTTTTCTTTTTTAACAATTTATTTCGTCGTTATTTCCGCTATTTTGAAAAGAATCATATACTTTTTAATCCATCGAATCAATGGATGCAGCTGAATATCCTATATGAAAAGATATAGACTCACGTTGAAAAATTATTAGTTTGAGATATTTTAACTTCATTTTTAATTAAAATCGCTCGAAAGACGAAAACAGTATGAATACAAGAATACTGCTCTTCCTCGTCCTTCATATATTGATTTTACAGAACTAAAGTTAAAATAACTCCTAAAAAAAGAATTTTTCAACTACGTTGTTACTTCTTTTTATGGAAAATGTCAGAATGCATGAATGAGTGAAAAAATGCAATTTCATTTAAGAAAATAAAGTTAACTCATATGTCCAACATGCGTATAGCTACAAACAAACTAATTGTTAATAAACTGAAACAAATTTGGAAAGAAACATTTTTGAAAATAACAAATAGTTCTGGAAATAATTGCATTTATTGATTAAAGTGCCTTGCATTCCAAATGATGTCAGTGGAACAACTAATACAAAATTGACGGATTATTATTGAATAACTTGTAAGCTAGATTATTTTGATTAGTCTTTCAGTCCTTGAGATTTTTATTTTAAACTTTCCAATATATATTAGTGTAGCAGCATTATGAGTTCCTTATTGTAACATAAATATTTGCAGTTTGAATCTAATTGTATTTAAGTTTCGTTCAAAATACAATTTATCTTCTCTGGCACCTAAAAAAAACCATTACTTATCTGAAATTAGTATGCATGTATATAGATAGTAAAATTATTCTGGAATTAAAATTTATTACTTGATCAATATTTGAACCTCACAGAAAACACGATAAACTTATGGCTACTGATTTTTTAATTTCTGTACTACTCCAAGTCAAAGAAACAGTACATTTATGTCACTCAAATACCAAACACTTATTTGCAATATACAAAAATAGAATATCTTTAAAAGACAGATAATTAGAAAAGAAGTTTTGTACGAAGCCAAAAAAAAAAAAATAGATAACAGTAACTACCGCTACTAATGCTACTAATGTTTTTAAAGTGTCCAAATCGTTAACAAATAGATAGCAAGAATACCTACATATTTAAATTTAAAATTATATGTATAAAAAATAATTCGAATAATGTACGTGCAATTAATGGAGGACGTAGTTAATTAATATGACTTTCTATAATACAGTTAAAACATTTCTGTACAGTTAAAGAGACCGTAATTCAACTAAAAATAGATAAATTAATTATTTATGGTCTTTAGATTTCAACTCAATTGACTCAGTGTTTAGATGAGCGATTGTGAAGAATTATAAAATCGCCTTGGAATTCTATAAACAAATTACTAGAAAATTTAGAATTTCTGCAAACCAAAATAATAGTAAACAATATTTTTCCTATATAGTCTATTGCATTTGAAGGCAATATTTTAAGCTATGGAAATCGTCACGCATTGTCGAGCAATCGTCACACGTTTGAAATCGTGGACCAAACTTGATTCTAAAGTCATATCAATATCACAATATTGCTAAACAAAATGGATGTTGAAGAGATTATTATAATTATGAAATTACTTTCCAAGGAAAACGAAAAAGGAAAGCAAATTAAGGAAGGTTCCTTATTACAAGAACTTTGCAATAAGTAAATATATAAATATAAATATGTAGTATAAATATATAATTCTCTAAAATCTAATGGTTTTCGGTGATTTCGATTGATAATGCGTAAAGAGACGTACTTAATTTAAAGATAACCTTTAGTTATGCTTTTCACGTCAGGAATGAATTCCAGGTATACTTTTATTCCGGTGCATTATTTCTAACATATTCCAAATACGTGCAATGTTAATATAAAGTATCATCTTATAGTGGCAATAATAACGTATATCAACTGGTGTATCATTTCTGTATAGTCCGCTAACGTGCTATAATCGTTGTCATTATTTCTGAGTGGAGTGTAACAGCATAAAGTAGGACCAAGATAATTTGAATTGCTGCAAAAGTATTTCATTCTCATTTTATGTATTTTGGATTCTCACAGAAATATTTCTTACCGTGCTCAAAGTTTCCAACGTAGGTAGCCATATACCATAGAGATTTAATACTGCTGAGTGATGGTTTCCTTGCATAATAAAAAGTAGCAATTTCTGTGTTGATAGTGATAAATTATACCATTCCAAAGTATATCTGTGAGAAAACCATATTGAGATTAATTGACAAAACAGAAATGAAATAAAACGTGATATTTAATATAATTTTACATTCTACGGTATATCTCAGAATTTTCTGTTTGTAAACGATGCTTCTTTATTTAAGAATTTACTTGTTGCATCAGCTTGTAAGTTGTTCCACGCAATTATCTTTCAAAATAATTTGTCACTATAAAAAGTTTTACCGATGGAACTTACTATTTCGAGGGAAACACATTTTAATGGTCAAGATATTTTTATCGGGGGATGTGCCATCAATTCGGTTTTTCTAGAGGTATGTGAAAATCCAAAAAATATACCCAAAAATGAAAATTCGATGATCAGAATTTCCGAACCTTTCGAAATTTCCAATAAAATCGGGTTTCCCCGATTCCTCGAGGATTCTAAAATTGCAAAAGATAGAGCATGAAGTAAAAGTAGTAATCAAATATGCGATATCCAAATGTAATATTTTGTTTCAAATTTTCGTTCAAAAAGATTTTCAAGCCGTTCAAAAAGTTTCCGACTAATCCAATTCTATTGGAAATCTCGACTTTTTTTTGGAAAATCCGATTATTTTGCGGTATCATTTTAATGGAATCTGAGCCAAATCTCAAAAAAACCCAGTTCGGCCTAATATTTTCGGGTTCTGTCACACTACTGATTCTTTGAAATAGAATATTTGCGATGTTGTTCATTCATTCGAAAGTTACGATTCTACTGGTGCTCTAATTCTACTTTTACGCACTGACCTAACTTTGGTACTGGACAGCCACTGAGACACATAAATGAAAGTATAAATCTAAAAACCCTTCCGTTCCTAAAGTCACCTTATGATTATGATGAAGAATATTTAAGAATATTTAATATTGTAAGAATATTAAAAATTTATTCAAATGAATGGTTGAAATCTATTTCTTCTCTTAAAACAATACATACTTCTCTTAAAAGATGTTAAAAAATTATAAGATGTTGATATTTCAAATTCAATATATATAAATTTAGTACATATTTAAAATATATTAATATATTCCAAATTTTTTTACACAAGGCAATAATCCGATTTTTAAATATTTCATCAATAATGTTATTATCATAAATCAAACTTTTAAAATATTCTCATAAATAAAAGTCCAAATTATGATTGAAACTCGGCATTTAACAGCTACTCTATTGAAGTTAATATTCGATGTAAACAAAAAATGTTTATTTTTCGAAAAGGAAGAGTTTTGAATATTTTGGTTACACTAATATCATTCAATTATTTCCTTAGTGACAGTAGAATTGATATCAAATAATTTAAAAAATTCTCTTATTCCTTAGAGTATATAACGGTGTTATTTATAGTATGCAAATAATGTATAATAAGAGTATAATTATATAATATATAAATTATATGTACAATTTATGTATATATTATATGTATATATATATATGATACATTATATTAATATATGTATAATAATAAATATACTTTTTCAAGATTTATATGAGACTTAAAGCAATGAATAGATAATAAGCAATCATACATAGAATGAATTTCATATAAAGAGTACAATAAAGGAACAATTAGCGATTAATTATCAGTTAAAGAAATTATCAAATAGCAATAATTATTTTTAAAATTATTTTGCGTACTTACGGAATATAAAAGAATTTCTGGCTTTCGTCGAATGTGCATTGTATTGAATATAATATTTTAATACTGAACATTATACTAGTTATAAAGATAACGAAGTTTACAATCATGACAAATCTGTATCCATGGGATATTGTCCTGGAAATCTAGACGGAATATACCATAAACGTAATAAAATATAGGGCTCGGAATGCGAATCTGACAATTTTTGAAATGAATTAGAGTTTTAAATTTTTATTTTTTAAGTAAATATGTCAATACAGATGTATTTATTATATGTCAATATATGTACTTATTATATATCAATACAGATGTACAATATTATTGAATTTTTTGTAGAAAGGTTTGACATATATTTCATTTTTCAGAAACTACTCCAACTAAAGTTCATAGAGTTATTATTATTTTATCATTTACATTTCATCAAGAATCCTTGAATTTTTATCTTTGAATTAAATCTCAAATAAATTATTGCTATAAATCTCGAATTTTATATTTTGTTTGATAATTAATAATCACAATAGACGGTTGGGTACCTTAATCTTTGTATTGTCAGTTGAAACAACTGACAAATTTCCATAAAAATCACCAGATTTCTGTCACATTATGTATGCAATGTTTTTAATACGGTAATGTTACATTAAATATGACCACTGCGTAATATATTGACAGTATTACAAAGGTTAATAGACAGGAGAATGAGAAATTGTGTTTCAGATACCTTATCCACCTTCGAGAAAAAATGAATTAATATAATAAAAGCATGTCTACACAATATAATGAACCTGGTTTCGCGTTAATGTGGAAAAACTAAAGAAAACATTTAAAATATTTAAGTTCAAAGACAACAAATATTCGCATAAATAAGCTTTGCATGAATATTGGTACATTAACACTTAACTGAGAAGATACTAACTTTATTATTGAGCTATAAATTTCCACTGTGTGTATTATCTGGTTATGTATAACGATACCTTTCTTAGAAATGGCCATTTTTATCGAATTTCCGTCCACGACATTTTTTATTTGGTAACTAATAAATGTGAAAAATATCATAATATCTAATTGCTATTTGTACAGAATCAAAACTATACTCACGTAGCAATTCTGTACAATCCATGTACATGCAAAATAGTCAATATGAAGAAATTGTCACGACAAAATAAAATTATTGTAAACAAAATAATTGTAACGTTCGCAGAAATAGTAATCCAATAATTTCGAAATTTGTCCACAAACATCGATGTAACAAACGGTAAATAACACAGATGAGAATTGTTCACAAATATAAAAATCTCGAAAATGCGAGGTTGAAGAGATGGTATCGCAACAATAGTGACATAACTGGTACAAAGTATAACTGCAATGTATCTTACGCGTAAAACATTATCGTTAAGCGTTTCCTGGTCGTCTTATGTGACGATTAATTTACTTCTTACTTAAATAAATAGTTGTATAACGATTTCCCATCGCGACATGTGTTTTAAGTATTTCAAATTCTTCTATGTCATGTAGGTGATTCCAATCACATTTTATATCCTTTAACCATTCCTCTATCTTGAAAAAGCCAAAAAAGAGGATACGTAATGATACGGTCTTATAATGAGTGATTAAAATTAACCGAAATACAGTTACTTACGTAGTTACGTAACTCATTACTTACGTTTATGAATTTCACAAGTAAAGAACCATAGATTATGTTTATATATGCTACCAGAATTATAAATATTACTTGCAATAAAGAGAATTGAGAGCTGCAAGTATTATTTTCGAAATAGAACTGTAACAACTGATAACAAAAATGTAAATAAGAGATGAATTTTTTTCTCAAATAATGCATTGATACGAGAGAACGAGTAATACGAGAAAACCGGTTAAATAATTATATTTCGTACGAATGGAATATCCTTACCACGAAAAATGTTGAACCGAGAAGAAGTATCAAACATACAATCGTAGTATGCGCTACGCTTAATTGTTTTGGTTTGTACGATGTCAATCCCATCACGAAGTAGCAGAATTTCAGAAGTCTATAATACTTGTAGCCAATGAAGTCCATTCTTTTCGACGGTCGGGAAGCGTCTGGTCACGGTCGTAGCTTTACATATTTCACAGAAAATAAAAGAAAGGGATAAAAATATTGACACCGTCGCGTGACACAACTTGTGAATTACACATGAGGGGGAAATGACTATCCGCCGATGCTCGTGAATAATGTATGTCTTTCCGAGAAGAAACGTTACTTTTATTCTTTCTCTTCCTGTTCCCCTACAATTTTCGCACAATTGCTCTAAGTTTGAAGAAAAAGTTGTCTCCGTGGCAATCAAAAAAGTGTCAATCAAACCCAGGTGTTTCCTCGCATTTCCAAGCTTTACGGCAACGTATGTGCAGCATGAAAATTACAGCTTACGAAAAAAAAAGTCAGTTCTTTACTGTCGTTTGAGAAGTGAAGTCGGAATTTCTCTTAGGGCTATTGCTCTGTTATGCATTTTATTTCTGTCGCGTTTTGTAAAGTATTAAGAACGTTCTCTTCGAGCTTTGCAATATTTGTGCTAGACATAATAGACATCGTAAAGACTTTCATAAATCTCGTGAAGTGTTACATTTTATGAAAATTTTTTACAAGAAGTGCTATTTTTTTTTTAACATACTGCTTTTTACTATGACAGAATATTTTTGTCCTGTTTCAGGTTACAATGACGGGGATTATTTCCAAACTAATCCAAAATAATGTTATCGTGGATACTCAATTTAGAATATCGTTGAAATATTGTACGATCAGTGTTATTGCTGGAATAAAGAAAAAATATAATGATATGTATTTAGCTATTTAAAGTTTGTATTGTATCTTTGCATTGTTTATATGTTTGAAAGTTGAATACGCCTGCTCTTTAATATTACATATATTGTGATATAATAGATCTTCAAATTTCTTGTATTCTTATTTTCTCTCATATTCTTACTGAGTTCATTGTTACTTTAAATAAAAAAAATCAATAAATTATATCCATGACATGTGTATAAAAGACACGGTACTTAATTGTAAAAAATATTTTCAAGTGTCATCAACAATGACATCACTGGCTGATTTTGATGAAATAACAGTATCGATGTATTTGAAACTATGCTTTGATAATGTATTGTGTTTGCTTGATAGTATTTTCGTCCGTATTTATTCGCAATTACATTATAGTTGATTATTACAAGTATGTGAAATAACATAATTCAATATACTTTTTCAAAGGATAATCATAGATAGAATAAGTGGACATTTTCCGAAGAAATAAATAGTGCGAAATCAATATTTCCGACTACGATGCAAATTTATTGAAAATTCAATACTGAACGAAATTTTTCGTTGCTTTTACGTACTGTGATAATTTATAGCATTTTCAAGAAGAAAAGTATCTTTATTTGTGGAAATATTTCACGATAAAATGAAAGATCCATTTTGAAAATAGAAGCTTCAAGTTTTAAAATTAGCCCAGATTTACTATTACAGGAATTTTTTTTTTTATAAAATTACAGAGTTCGTGTAGTTCAATATTCGATCATTAATGATTTTTATGATTTTCTGCTACTTCTGAGTTTAAGATTTTTGCATCTTTGTTTTAATCGTTTATTGTTAGAAGAACTTCTCATTTTCTGGGATTATTAGAGAATTTGAAGTTTGCTCCGTTATTGAATAAGAATGAACACATCATAGATCCGCGAAGTCTCGAGATTTCATGATATGTTGATCTTCAAAACAATTTTCGAAAAAGTTCAGCAATGATACCTTTAAATCAACCCATTCAACCCATTCAAAATTATTCCTTTATCCATCGACCAAATTCGGGAGTAAATCTCTACATAAACCAAATCTTCATCAGTTTCGATGATATTTATGTGTGTTAAAACATTTTCTTCGGGAGAAAAATGTTGTTAAAATTGTCGATTTCTAACGTAATTAGAACTTAACGAGATCGGTGAGAGAATGGTTACTCTGTGAATTTACCAATTCATCTAATCACTCACTTTCAAATGTCTCTGGACGTTTTTAGTTTTAATATTCAGTAAATATTTATGATAGTATATTATATTGTCATTAATGTATCAATGCCTTACAGGTTTTTTATTGTACAAGATATTATTTAATTTTTCGAATTTTAATATAAATATAATAGGTGTTCTGCTGAGATTTTAGAGCCCTGAAATGCAAAGGAATAATTGAGTAGCTTGAATCCAACATACACGAATGTTCAATAGTTATTTCTCATGCATTCTGAGACTTGGCGAAGAATTAAATGAACATGGAAGGATGCTGGATTTAAATTTGGCCGAATTGGGGAACGAATGAGTATTGAACGCACCATTGGAAATATTAGGTAAAGTATGTTACACACTTCTAGAAGTCAGAAACGACTAGTTAGAAAATTGAACACTGATATTTTTAATTGTTATAGCACATTTTTCAATTGGGGACAAGGATATTTTGAACATCAAACATTTAGTTATCTACAGTTTGTTTATTTTATTTTAACTTTCTGAACATACAGTGAATGTAGAAAGTATTCGTATACCAATCAATTTCTAACAGAACTTCGTGAAATGGTAGTTTATTAACAACTTTTTTATAAACAATGAGTTTGTACATATTTTCGGAAATCTTTAGAATAGATGCAAAGCAAAACAAAATTTTTAATTTACATAATTTGCGAAATCAACAAGAAAAAATAAAAAATCGGCAGAAATGTACAAGAAACAGGTATTCGTATAACTGCTACATTGTTAGAAATTTCAAAGAAAAAGCATAATTTAAATGAATTTGACAATAAAAAGAACTAATGTAAACAGTTAATTAATATTTTGTAAGGTTTCCTTTTGATATTATTATTGCTGCAATTCTCCTAGGCATTGAATTGACTAAACATTAATCATAGTTATGAAGCAGCGGTGAAATATGTTTACATTATAAATTCTTTTGTAAGCAGTTCGAAATAGAAACTGTACTAATACTTATTGCTTGTACATTTCTGCCGATTTTTTGTTTTTTCTTTTTGATTTCGTAAATTATGCAAACTAAAAATTTTTTTTTGCATTGCATCTATTCTAGAGATTTCCGTAAATATGTACAAACTCATTGTTTATAAAAACAATTGTTAATAAACTACCATTTCACGAAGTTTTGTTAGAAATTGAACGGTATACGAATACTTTCTACACTCACTGTACATTAGTGATTGTCTGTTATTGCAATATATTTGCATGAATTTAAAGATAGGTTTAGATTATTCTTTCTTGCAAGAAAATCTATACCATTTATCTGAAACAACTGAAATAAATATATATTTTGTAATAAATCGTGCTTGTTAAATATAGCATATATGAATAAATTAGATTATTTGTACAAAACAACATACTCCTGATTGGTGGCGTAATGAAAAGTAGTAAAAAGTAGTGATAATGGTAAATTGTACCATTCTGCAATATATCTGTGAAACCGTATTAAGATTAGTACACAAAAATGGAATAAAATGTCCTATTTGATATAATTTTAATACTTTCTACAGCATATTTCAGAACTTTCTATTGACAAACAATGTTTCTTTCTTTAGAACTTGTTTCTTAGTAATTTTTATATGAGCTTGCGGATATAGAGAATGTCTCATTTTAATCTTTCACAATAATCTCTCAAACCATTGGTTATCGTAAAAATCTTTTTAGAAAAGGACACTTTATGATGATTACATATTTTATCCACACGGACGTATCTTCGAGACTTAGTTTTTTTTTAATGGAATCACATATGCAATAATGTTTATTCAATCACGAGACACAATACTAGTCGTATTTTTATAAACTTCGTACCATTTCATATTTCATTTCTCACATGTAAAGAGTGTTAAGGAAATTTTTATATTTTTTATTTATTTATTTATCATTTTTTATTGCTACTAAAAAAGAAAAGAAGTCATATAAGACGAAACTATAAGTCTGGAAATTTTTTTCTTTCCGAAATTTGAATATTTTTTGATCATGATGAACCCTATAGGAATATATAATTTATTTAAAGAAATTACTAAAAATATATGCTTTTCGTCGACTATCCAAGACGTTCAAAAATTACTAGTGTATTCCAAATTTGGAATATGTAAGGCAACAATTTAATTTTGACTATTTTCAAACTATTAGCGTTATTGTCATAAGCTAAAGTTTTAAACAATAACAGAAGTCCAAATTGCTCGAGAGAGAAAAATTTTTGGTCCTATATTTATATGATTTTATTTCTTGGTTAATGACATTAGAATAAAGGTATGTCAAAATTCGACAATCTATTTTATGGACACGAAAAATTCTATCTCAATAAAATTTTATTCCTATAAAACTATCATTTGTAACATGTAATATATATTATTTATTGAAAAGATAATTATGTGATAATTATATATGATAAATGTAGTATATCTTCTAGGACGTATACATAAAGCAAGAAATAAGTAATAAACAATATATAAAATAAATCTTATATAACGAAAAATATAACCAATTAGTAAGTAATTAATAAATATTAATAATTATAAATATAATAATAAACAATTAATGTTAAATTTAAAATTATATTAATAAATATAAGGAATTAGGAAGTAATTAATTTATTGCGATTTTTATTCAAATAGACACACATTGTCTAATTGTTGTCGATCAACCTATGGATAAAGTTATTCATAAATTATTAAAGAGTCTTCATCATGCATGTAAGCATAATTCTGAAATATCATGTACATAACTGTAACTTTAACGGTTAAGAAACACAAAAAATATACTTCGTTGAAAGAATAACTCTTTTTTAATACTAACAATTTGTTTCAATAATAGAGCAAATAAATTGTAATTTATTTGAACATTATATTGTGCAATTTCTTCATTGTATTGTATATATATATATATATACAGTTTAATTTGATATTACAATATTACATTTATTACTTTAATATTTATTTTAGTATTACAGCGCATAAGTAGAGACAATTAATATCACAATTAAGCTTTATTTAATCCACTCCACATCGTATAATTTAAATCCTGCCAGACAACCAATCTTCCTTATCATATCATTAGCTTTCTCCGCGATCATAATAGTAGGCGCATTCGTATTACCTCTAACAATCTTTGGCATAATTAAAGCATCCACAACTCTCGAACCGTCGATCCCATAAACCTTCAAACTCTCATTCACGATAGCCTCAGAATCCGATTTTGGCCCCATCTTACAAGTCTCAACTAGGTGGTATAAACTCGCAGTATACTCCATTATCACACATTTCCAATAATCTCTAACACCAAACTCGAATTGTCTACAAGCAGGTAAAGGCTTATCCATCAACTTAAAATCATTCTTCTTAAACGATTCTGTATCAAATAATTTTAATGTTGCTTCCACCTCTTCTATCAATACTATTTGTAAAATAACCAGGGTAAATTAAAGGTGGAGCCCAAAAAGGATCACTATCATTTAACAATATAAATCCTCTGCTTTTAGGTGACAATAAAATTGGATTAATAGATATAGCATCGTAATAAGATGATGGATCAATAGTTCCCTCAAAAGATTCGACTGGATTATTTAAAATATCCTTTTGATTAGTTGCAAAAGAAAAAACTTCAATATCAGGCATATCACGCTCATATTGGAACATTGTTTGCAAGAAAGTAGCAACCGTAGATGTACCAGTTGTAGATAAAGGTGTCTTCCCCTATGTGTCTTCTGATAAGACAAAATATCTTCCTCCTTCATGAAAATATTTTTATTCGTGGAAGTAAAATTCAGTGCAGTTACTAGATGATACATTCCTACATGATCTTGAAAGTTCCTTCCAACTGATGAAATATTAATTACTTCAATGCCGTGTTTCTTTAATTCTTCTCTTGGTCCAATTCCAGACAGCATGAGGATTTTTGGTGAATTAATCGATCCAGCCGAGAGAATCACTTCTTTTCTAGCAAAAACTGTATTTAATTTAGTTCGGTTGTTTCCTGAAGTATATTCGACGCTTGTTACACGTTTTGTTTTGTTGTCTACAACCAATTTCGTAACGTATGATTCTGTTTTGATAGTTAAATTTTTGCGTTTGCTTCTGATGGGTCGTATGAAAGCGTTGTTAGTGCTTTGGCGTGTTCCATTAGCGGATGTCGTTTGTGCCTTCATGACACCTAGTTGGTTCTTTGCGTTGACATCCACGACTTTGTAACCTAGTTCTTGCCACGCATTCAGCAAGATCTCGGCGTTAATATCGACATATGAAAATCGTTGTACCGATTGGTAACCATGTTGGTTATGATAGAGTGGATTGTCTTCCACTATCTGGAAAAAATGAGAGTAGTTAATAATTTTAGATGAATTTTAATTTTTGTTTGGTTTGTTTGTTCTAGTTTTAATTTGATTTAATATGAATTTAGTGCGTTATGAATTTATCACTGCTAAAACGTATTATCACTGATTTTTTTAATAGATAATATTTAGAAAAAGACCATGGGTTATATTTTAATTATATTTTTGATGTATTTATAGTAGATGTAAAATACGTATAATAAATCAGAGAATTGTAGATAAATCTGTTAAAATATTTAAAGTGATAAAAATTAACTTAAATTCGTTCTAATTATCGAAAATTTAAATTGATCAGCGTTAGAACAGTATAATATAGTAATGATATTTATGTATTGTGTATATATGTTGCAAGACTTCAAAAAATTGTTGTCAGAATACAATTTTTTACCATAAATAAGTCAATACTTTTTCGTAGAGCAAGATCTGCTACATCAATTGAAAATATATAAATATAAAACAATTATATACTATAAAACAAACATTACGCAATTTTATATAAAAAAAATTCATCAATAACCATATCCTAAAACAAGCTAATTACACTAAATTACTACTTGAAATAGAACACATTGAATTTGAAACAATTTTCAAACGAATATTTATGAGGATAATTATATTCACAGAGTCTCGCCTTGTTTAGAGAATAAAACTCATTTTGATTATAATTAGAATAATAATAATAATAAATATATATTGTATACAGTTTTTTTTTTGGTAAATGATAATATAAATTCAAATTAAATTTATTACCTGTGGATCCCTATTATTTTCTGATTTCAGAAAATATGGTAGAACTTCTGTGTAGCTCCAGCCACGATTTCCTGCATCTGCCCATCCATCATAATCTTTTGGATTACCGCGAACATACATCATGTAATTGATAGTACTGGTACCACCCATCACCTGTAAGTATGATAATAAATTTTTAATACTAGAACAACTTCCAGTAGTTCCAGATTTGTTACAAATTTCATAGATATGACTATAATAGTCGCGTTCTATCATATTCATGATGTTTCGAGATATTATGATACATATTATATATATAAACTCTTCTATGTTTTATGTTCGAGTACATTTATCATTATAGTCACCTATGTTATACTAATTGTATACATATAAATGGAAATTTTAAACTTTCTGTTCATTCTTGACAACAACTTAGCTTGTCGTATGAAGTTACGGAATGTTAAAATATCGAAATATATGTCTACATACTTTACCCCTTGGCACCGCACAACTTCCATTTATTCTGGATCGACAAAAATGCTGCTCCGGTTGCATTCTATACATCCAATCGATATTGCTTCGTTGTAATGTAGGGGTGAAAGCAGGAATATCAGCTACCTCTGGTTCTTCTATACCAGGTTCCAATAATAATATCCAATAATATCCAATAATAATAATTCCAATAATAATATCTGAAAATGTAATTCAAAGTATTCAAAGTATTTAAAATATTTAATATACATCATCACAAATTGTTAGCGTTTAAATTGACTGAAAAATTTCGGAAGTAATTGTAGGTGAAACGAAACTTACTACTTCAAAAAGCAAAACTAATCCTTACTCCTATGCAAGAATCATTTAAGATCTGTTTCTCAGTAAGTTTTAAGCGAGAATTTCAACAAAATCTGAAAATCTGAGTAAGCAAATTAAGATCAGGAAAGGATTGGTCAATAATTTATTTCAGTAGATTGTTACTGAATAGTGAAATGACGATTAATATCATGGAACGTATCATATTATAAATACACATATTCGATTATCTAACGTTTAAAACAACAAAATATCGTTGAGTAACAATAGCTTTAAAAGATATTCCGTATCTAACTGAAATTTCTTTCAGTTGCTATATAATTTTGAAAACACAAGTCGACATAGGTACCTGCACGTTAGTAATAACACATTTATTTAATTTGAAGAATACCTTCCAATGTTTCACTTCGCTTAATCTGTTTGCAACGACACATCCGGCTGATCCAGCTCCCACAATAATAAAATCATAGTCTTTCTCTGGAAAATTCACGTACATACAAAATATGGTTTTAATCATAAAATGTGGGACGTACATATACGTAATTAATATTAGTATTAAATATATTTATGATTGTTATAAAATATATAATCTTTAAATTATTATATAAAATTATGCATAACTTATTTATATATTGTTCGGTCTCACCGGACACAACGAGGGCAAAACTGTAATGCGAAAAATAAATTCATCCAGCCAAGAATAAAAACTTTCAAATTTATTTTCTCCACGGCAGGGATTTCCCTTGACCGTATTTTTATGTCTTCCGTTTCATGTCTTACTTTCTATTTCATTGCTGTAGTCATACTTGACTCCCAATTCCAAATTTCTTTATCGCAACTGTTCTCGACGTAAGTATAAGTATAGATGCATCCTAGGACTCTTAAGAATTGTATACTTTATGGGATCGACCTCACACAATAATATGTCTGGAATCAATTAGTTTACCTCTCCAATCCCATAACCCGGGAAAATACAATAGAATGTATCTATATAAGACCAACTCACAAAGAAAAGTCAGTAGTTTACAACAATCCAGCAAAGTAGTTTTCAATAGCATTCCTACATGCAACTTACTCTTCCACTCAGTCAAATCTTACTCTCCTACTCATACAATTTCACTTACTTTATTCAGGACTTTACATTCCTTACTCATATAATTCATGTCCCTCAGATTATCAAATCATCCAATCAAATTCACCTCTGACGAGTGAATTAAACCCTACCAATCTAACACTAATTAAACCTTTACTTGAACCAGCTGAGTTTCACGTTGAAAGCAGCAAGCCACCAATCTAATCAACGTCCCTAATGCGTGGATTCGGATCGGTACGCTACATATATTTTTCACTGAAGTTTCAGTATACACGAAAATAGAGCTCGAAAATTTATCAAGAACTACCACATGTTCGCTGTTATATAATTTTTAATCAGCACCTTGCATATTCTAATGATTTTAAGTAATTAGTCATTAAGTACATAAGTATGCAAATAAGTGTATAACATGTGGCATTGGGTGGCATCGTTAATTTTTGATAAATTTCTGCGCAAAAATGTTTGCGTTAAATTCTCCAATACCGTGTTAAGCACAATAACTCCTACATAATGTTGACATTTACAAAATATAATGATTAAAATAACACGTTTCAGTAATAGTAGTAATTCAATGCATGTTTAATACAAGCACATGTTATTGCTAGATAAAACATAATAATACAATTGCTTGAAGTTTTTGAACCACCATCTTTTGTATTTGTCAATGAAGCAAATACTTTTATATACTTTTTGGAAATCAGGAATACTGTAAAAATTGTATTTCATTTTGAAATACAGATAATTACAATTGAAATATATAGAGTGTTGCGAGGTGTATTCAAACTCTACCATTGTGTTTTGCAGATAAAAATATCATTTAGCAAAAAGTCTACGAACGCTTGGTTAACAGGTTGTAAAAAGAAAAAATGAATGTAAAGCCATGTTTGCATTTTAAAGTATCAACCTCTATTATCGATACAAAGTGATATCGAGACTATTGGTGATATCTTAAAATGATATCTTTATTATAACATTTTATTGAATGATTTATCGGATTTTGGCTACACGATATTTTAGTCTTCATTTTACCTGCATTTTCCTGTATTATAATTGAATTATTTTTGTCTGTATTTACCTATTCTCTTATTGGGATATGAGTCTTCAGAGTGTCCGAAAAGATTAGCGACGAGTGCAAGAAACATAAAGCTGGATGATTGACAGGCTGATAATGTAGAATTAGATGTGCAGAAGCTTGATAGATTTAGAGGTACCCACGACATCTTTTTAGTTATCAGGTTATGATTCTTCTTGGTCGTCTGGAATTTTTGGTCTTCTCGATAACTTACTTAACTGTTAAGAACAATTATATACTTAGTTAAGTATTATACATGTGTGCATACTATTTCCAGTTTAACTGGAAATGTTCATCTATTTCAGAAAACATGAAAAGTATGAAAAAATATTTTAGAAATATATGATATGAAGGAACATGTCATGCAGTGCTTTTACCCGTTTGCTTTTGCAATGACTCTTAAACGACTAGTGAACGTCAAACTAAAATTTTTAAGTGAACTGTGTCACTTTTAATTACATATTCTTACATCTGACATACTTATTTTTTTTTTTACATACATTTCCATTTTTTATTTCATATTCGTCGAACGTTATCTGATTAGCAGATACTAGCACAAATGACATAATTGCTTTAGTAATCAAATTTGCAAATAATTTCAGTGATTTCAATTATTTTTAAGAATTCAAGAAAATTAAGAATAGAATAAAAGAGGCCAATATACCCTTCTATGTCTGATTAATTCTTTTGAAGATCCATAATTTTGACGAATACTATAATAGTCAAATTGTATTAAAATCTCTAGACCTGGAATTCCTAATCCCTTATTAAACAGATTACCCTGCTTAATTCTGTCGCACTTCTCATTTTATACAACTAGACTTAATTATGCTCAGAGAAACATGTCACATTTCCAGTACAGCCTCTGGTCACTTGCAATTTTCAGATTTCTTACGTTCCTAATAAAATTAATTAATTATAATATGAGAAAATGTATATATTAATAATTAAGTTTTATATTAAAAATTACTTAAATAATAGTAATATAATGATATTTATTTCCACGACGTACAACACATGCGAGAGATTTGTACGCATATCGAGTTCAGTCTAGATTTAAATGGGATAGTTTTTTATCGTTTCTATAGTTTCTATACGATATGAGCAAAATAAAATCTACTACTACTAACATATTATTTATCCAATATAAATATCGTATAGTACTAATAATAAATAATTAAATAGGTGAAATTGTGCGAGAAATAAATTGTTTTCCAACAATTTTTGCACTTATTATAGATATCGAAATTTTTCCTTTGCATTTAGTCAATCAGGTTTAGTTTTCAAAATATTTGTAAAAATCTGCCGGTACCAAAAATTGTATTTGTACTGAAAGCACTCACTATGCAATTGATATGCTTGTAAATGCAACTGGCACATTGGCCGTTATTTTTATCATATCTTACGAATCTAAACATATAACTTTAACTAAACATAACTTCTACGAAAACCACAGCTGTATTTGTGTGTATGTTTCAGAATGGAAAATAAAATCTTTTTAAGGATTTCTTCGAATAATTTACCGCGGATTGAAGATATAAGAAGAACATAAATTCAATATATTGATGATGTTTGTTAATTGATTTATAGTACTAGTTTGATGTAATTTCGCTTATGCAGTTATACACGCTGTTTTAGCCAAGCTTGTAAATTCTTGCACGTAAACTCTAAATATGACTATTGGTTGTATAAATATGGCATGGCAGAAAAAATATTACTGAAGGCTGGCTCAGAAATTACTCAAGATTACGCGGACCACATGTAATAAGCTTGATAAGATAAGAATTCAGATTGAGTTAATTTATTATACCCGACTAATACATGATGGCAGATAATTAACTTTGAAACTTATATAGCTATAATTGTAGGCTTCTTCGGTGTAGTTTTTTGCGAATATCTCGGAAAATGAAATCAATCACCGGTGTGTGCAAAGGGAGAAGTTGTTCAAAATGTCGATATCTGTAACATACCAATAATTTTAGCAAGAGAGGTTGTTGACATTTAAAAATTCCTGATATATTCCAAGTATAACGAAGTTATTATTTAACAACGAAAGTTATACAATTCTCGAAAATTTAAGAAAAATTTAGAAATCAGTGTTCCTGTATAATAATAAAAAATATACATATATAAAAGTATTTAATTTAATATAGAATATTTTCAGTACAAATTCATATAAAGGAAAAATATGAAGCGGATACGAAGAATTTTCGGAGCTTCTAGGACCTGCAAAATCCCTAGAAGAAATGAAAATAGTATCTGATGACTATAAATGACACTCGGAAGTAGAGACGGAAATTAATTCAATTCTATGCAAGCTATCGAACGATTCGGTTGAACTGCAGCGCTTTTGAATAAACGTCGAATTGTACAAGTGTATTATTGTATAAATTATATAATTGTGTATATATATATATATATTTTTTTTTTATGTGGAGGAAATCTTGCATATGACACCCAGCCCATGTTCCGGAGCTGGGTAGTGTCGGATTTCTACCGACTAAAACCTCCACGATGGCCTTCATCGTGTACTTTTTCGAGGCTGCGGGACCGAGATATTCTCCGCTGTGTGTATATATACATATATATACAATTATATATATTCTTTATAGTATTGCAAGTAAAATACTTGTTACGATACATGTGTATATACATTAGTATTTACGATACATAGAAGATATTTGATCTTGATACACGTGTGCTCGATTGAGCTATTTGTCCGTATTTTAAATTTTTAAACATAAAATGAAGTTAGATGAGGCGCTATTAGCAACACAGGCATCACAAAAAAGGACGCACAATTTCTTAAAGATAAAACTATAGCGATAACGAGGAGAAGATAATGAAGCTATTAAAACGTAACTCTGAGATAACTATAATTTTTTGGATATTATCTTCATCAAACATACCATACATTTTTACGTAAATGAAGAACTTTTATTTTTTGTTGAAAGTAGAAAAAGATTCTAGTTAAAGAAGAAAGTTCCAGGTCTAAGGTATATATGAGACGATTGATTGACATAATTTGATTTTGACTTTCACTGGTATTTCTTCTATGTCATAATTACCTGTGTTCTTCACAAATAAGTTTACGTGATTTATAATATCCTAGATTTTAGGATGTAGTTATGTATTGTGGTAGATGGGCATTTTTGCTATTTCGTGAAATTCTACTACTGACGTGTCATATGGTTTATTTAGGATTATTCTCAGAAATTTATTCTGGATATTTTGGACTTTGTTTATATATGACATGGCTGCAGCAGCCCAGACTTGATGTACGTAAGTGATTATGTGTGTTATATACGCTTA